CAGGAGGACGAGGCTTTCAGTCTCTGTTTACCACACAAGCAAACACCGAGTCCCCCTCAGACAGCTGAGTCAGGCTTTGGGGGGGCAGCAAGAGGCAGGCAGGCTGGGGCCAGAGGGCAGCTCCTGGTGGAGATCAGGCCGGCCAGCAGTGGAGAGCGGCCAACCCAGGGCTGTGGGGGAAACATCTCTTTGCTGCTGTGGCTTCTGACCCCATGAAGGGAAAAGGTAGCAGGCCTCCGACTGCCCCCCCAAAGAGGAGCTTGAGGTCTTCAGCCCCCCTGTTTTGCCTTGTAAGTTCTCCTTCAGTTCAGGAGAATGAGGTTCCTTTTCTAAAGCATCACCAGGCACTTTCACAGTGTTATCAGACACCTCTCATTTTGGGGAGAACCTTCACAGCTGTCATTTCAGGCACCCCTTTAGGAGCTGTGTCCTCAACAGTGACAGTCGGGTTGTGGTGCAACCATGATGAACAGGGCTGTTAATGGCATGTGCCCCCCTCCAAATTAGATGTAAATTATTTGGAACTGCCTGCAGTCTGTGTAGCACTCAAACATTTCCATTGCTGTCTCTGGGAATGACATTAATCAAAATAAAACAATATGACTTATTCAATTTACTGGAAAAACAGGAAGCCTTGTATACAGTTAAGGTCTACTTGGCTGCAATATCAGCCTATCATGCAGACGTTGGTTAGAAGTCAGCTGGACAGCACCCCCTAGTGTGCCACAACGCCTGATGAAAGCACTGAATATGAACGAAATCAGTTCTGTTATGTGATCTGTCTATTGGTTGCCCTTTCTCATCAGCCTTTCGTGTCTTTGGATGGAGTTAAAATCTCTCTCTCCAGTCAGTGCTGCTTCTAGCTGTGACCACAGCAAAGCGAGTGAGTGATTTACAGTCACTGTCTGTCCCCCCTTGTGTACAGTTTAGTCAGGACTCACTAAAGTATGTCTGTGACCTCATCCTGCTTTCCTGCCGGAGGCTGCAGACTCGGCCTACAGATGCTCCTCGCTGGAGCTGACAGCTTTCCACCCCCCACCCTCCTCTTTCCTCTGCTGAGGATCAGAAGCTGAGCACATGGTGTCCAGTTCAGGCTCTGCCTGTGTATATAGACAGGACAGCAGGCTTCAGGAGGTACCATCAGCCGCTCATGTCCTGGGCTGCACCCCAGAGGGGCAAACCACTGTCCTGTCTAAGGCTTCCTCACTGAATTGTGCAAGCTATACCCTAAGCTTATATATTAGGGGTGTGCCTCCCCGTCACTGTGGCCGAAGTGATACACGTGTCAATGCACTGGCAACCATCCAATTAATTAAGACTAATTAAGAAATTATTTATTTACTTATTAATTAATTAATTAGGGCTGTCAAAATTAACGGGTTAATGCGGATTAACCCATCATCATGATTAATCTGATTTAAAAAAATTACGCAATTAACCCATCTGCAGCGTAGAATGACTCAAAACCCCTGAAATGTCTCTCCGTGCATTCCATTTGCCCTCGGAACTCGGATCCTGAGTTTTGAAGCCAGAAGTGACGACATGCGCGCTCCCGTTTCTCGGAGATCCGAGAAATATCTCTGACAGCACAGAGCAGGGGTGGCCAATCTTATCCACAAAGGGCCGGTGTGTATGCAGGTTTTTGGGATAAC